TGTTATTTTAAATACGACCGACCCCTGCTAAATAATATACCACACATGTTTTGATAATTTCGATCATTGTGTCCAACTTCAAAAGCAATATAACAGAAACGAGGGAAACTGCCAATTTTCCTTGGAACAAATGTTTATAGATATTCGCGAAACAGAGTTGCGAGTACAAAGAGTAGAGTGGAGTACAGCGGCCGGAAACGAGACGCAACGCGCGCGCGGCAACGAGCCGGCACTAGAGCGCAGTCAGCTGGTTATGACGTCACACGCCATATCGTCGATAGGTGCGAGAGCGAGTGGTAGTGGGGGGGAGGTCTCCTCGCCGGACGCCGCGCTACCGCCACGCGCGCGCATTGTGATTTAAAACGCGAAGTCACGTGGCAGCGTGTCGCTCGTATAGAGCTAGAGAGAAGACCCGACCGTCGACGGCCGCCGCGGATTGGCTCGCGCTCGGCTCGGCTACCACCATGATACGCGCATTCCATTGGCATGACACCGGGCTCCGTGAATGATCGGCACGTCATTCGCGTATACGATTTCGCGTTCGATATTCGAATGTTTCGCGATTATACATCGCCTTTTTACGGCCTGTCTTCGTCATCATCGGCCGGTGATGACGATCACCTTACGACTCGTTCACGTTGATGGAGCGTTCAATAACGGCGCGTATACGTAATCGGTAATACTTCCGTGTGAAACGCGATGTGTCATTACACATCGACTATCGCTGGCGCTCTTTCCTCGTTGTCCGGTTGCCGTACCGATCGCAGTGCACCGCGTACTCGTTTCCGCGAACACTTCACCATGAGTTTCTTTCCTCGGTAGCGTACCGGTTCTTTGAATGCGAAACCGGCGTGGAAATAGCTATCGGTGAATACAATATGTGAGAGCGTGTCTTGTAGAATTTTGAACGTCGGTACCATCATACTTCGGTGAGTTCTCAGACTTGAACGTTACGTCCGCGGTGCAAGTGATTTCTACGTTCAGTTATAGCCGGTAAAGTGCAACGATCGACGTGTAACATTTTTGCCACGCGATGGTATTTTTAAGCTGTTTCTCATTACTGTTTATTAAGTACGTATTCGAGGTAGTAGAAGAAAAATAAAGTTTTATTTAAAAAATCGAGTGCACGGAGCAAGAAAAGTAAGATATATCGCGATTACAAGATTATACAAGACAAGTGCTTGGAATGTATTTTCGAAGTATAATTGCAGCATTAAAAAAAAATTATAAATAAGAAGTAAGAAAATTACAATAAGGCTCAAATAAATCACAAGTAAATTAATTAAACCAATATAGAACGCCTATATGAGCCGCCACAGTAGGTGCGTTAATCAAAATAACATTTTAAGGTGCATAATATGTACTTGCTTTACAATTTGTACAAACGTTTTTGACTCCAGATTTGATTCCTTCAGTGTAGTCGGTGTCATTGCAAAAAGAGACAGTTACAAAGAAAAATGGGTAGAAGTCCATTATCTCCTCCATATTTACGTCAAAAGTCCATATTAACAATAAACTAAAAGATTAAAAGGTCCACAGCAGAAAAAAAAATTTATCGAAATTTATACGAGCCAATTTTTTGTTGTGAAATGTCGTGAATTATCGTATAAAACAATTAATTGTTATGCAAATATTAGTATCGATAATTTGAATTTAATCCAAATACAATAAATTAATGTGTGATTAAATTCACTGATTACTCGTATGTAGAAAAGATTAATAAAAAGAACGTGTGAAAAAGTAATAATGTGAAAGTGTGAAAAAGCAAAGTGAAAATATAATAATAATGCCTGCATCGAGAACTTTATTGTGCGAAAAGTAGTATAAAAGCTAACTTATTAACTATTAATTTTTACACATTAAAAAGACAGTCCGTCAAGTAAGAGCGTGATGGACCTATGTTAACATTAAAATAATAATTATATTCTATGATTAAAATGCAATTGTACATTAATAAGGAGTCCAGTCACCACTGTTGTCTATAATGGACTGGGCATCTCCGGGGCATACTTTTCACTAAATTGAAAATACAGCTTTATAACACCTCTATCAAGCTAGCAGAACCAAATGAGCAGAATCAAACCGGACCTATCCAATTTTTTAGTACTCAATTTGTACTAATTTGTACCACCAATAAAAATTTTGTACCTCGTGCCGTTTTGAAGAAAAACGTAGCGCTGCTAGCTTTATATTAAGCTAGCA